CAATTTCTTTATCTCGCAACATACTAGCTGCAACTTTAAAATATTGGTTCTTTTAATTTCAGTCGCACAATGTTCTGCTCTTGTTTGGTGTCCTCCAGCCTGGATAAATTGTATTTATGCCGCTGTTGGAATAATCTGTGGTGGAGCTTTTCTTGGATGTGCAGGAGTGTGCCTGGTTCCTACTCCATAAATGAAGACATTTTAGATTCACAGCTGTGCAATACTGTGTGTGATAATAAATACATTTTCTGATTCATCTATATCATACATTTCAATTATTACCAAATCTTACTAACCAGTCACATCAGTTTCTTCTGCAACCCGCTATTTGTCAGAGTAAATGGAATGACGGTAAAAAATTTGAACATTATAACTAAACATGTCGATTTTATTTCAAATTGCAATCTTAGAGCACTTTAGATGTGTATGCTACTCTTKTAGAATAAAAAACTTTCAGGTGCAGCMACTTAGCGWGCAGAAATACAACAAAAGGCGCAAGTTTCKCAAARGTTTTTGAGAACGTTACTAAACTGAAACTCATTGGTCTGGTTGAATAGAGCTGCTTTTGTATGCCGGTTTATATCGGCAAAAAGCTTACCTTGTCTTTTCTCACACTTTTAGAAGTCAAAACTTTTTAAATAAATATGTAATAGGCCTCTGTTTCTTTTGACAACAATCAATGCAAAAATAATACAGACGCGTTTCATTCTGATAATATACCATAGTATATAGGCTAGAGCGATTCGCATCWAAACTTAAAGGCCAAAAACTGCTATTCATGATCGTTCCTCGTTTTATAGTCATAAGTGWCGAAAAATAACATACGGCATCGTGAGTTGAGAGCTTGGTCTATAAACAACAACATTGAAAATCAACAACCCAAAGAACGTTACGATACCTTACTTTGAACTTACAGAAGTATGATATTATTCATTGTAAACATACATTCCTTTGCACAGAAGCCGTTACTGTGTAAGAGAATGCTTACAGTCTTTGTTTTCCATCGTCGTTTAGAGARGACATAATTATAGTAAGTACTACATATGAATGGAACAAGATCCATTCACATCGTCCATCTCCAAATGGAAGGTCGACCAGCGTCAAGATCACAAGTGATCAACGCGCTGTGATGTAAGTCCTAAAAGAAAATGCTCATTAGCATAAGCCATAATGGGGCCTGTTTTTGTTGACTAAAAATACACGAGGCCGACTGCCTGACATGCAAAATTATGGTTACAGTGACGCAATGACCGCAAACTAACATACCGGAAGTAAAACTAAAACAGGGCCTAGCTTTAAGGGCCTCCAAGGAGGTAGTACAGATATTTGGGTTGTCCGTTCTTRATGCTGTCTTCCGAACAAATTTTGCCAATTAAAATGATTTTTGATACAGCTGAGGCTACATAAGACTACASAAAAAACTTAGCGAAGTTATACAATGGGAATCTAAAGCAGTCAAATAAAAAATATTATAAAAATCACTTTTTTAATATCATTTGTAGCACCACATTGCACTTACACTTTTGCCAACTCGAGATGAAGCCGTGAAAGAAATTGCGTTTAATACAGCAAAATGATATAATCACTCTTAATTCATTGAGTTTCGTTGTCTGTTCTAAACGAAAATATCTCAGCCATGTTGCCTTAAGAGACTTGCATACGATTTTTAATTCTGCGATATAGTATTTTTTTGGTACCCTATAAGGGACTACAAACAAGTATATAAAATAGTACTAGCGAACCAATGTCGAATTAATTRCACATTAGAAGACAGAGTAGAGTACAAACATTAAATGTGTTTTTTAGTTAAACAATACTGAGAAAACAATAGAATTAGCATAATTTAGCAGTATTTAGTGGTATTTACGTTGCACAGTTTTAGYGTTTGTACTCTAAACGTATTTGAAAACTACTGTTTGATTACATCATCTATCAAGCTAAGGTGTAGAGTGAACGCATTTAATCCGTGCAACTGTACAAAATTTAAGTAGTACTAATTTGTACTAAAAGTAGACCTGAAGCAAGACGGTATTGAATGCTTCATTTGTACCAATTCAATTTAATTTGCGTATCGCATGCAGGATTTACTAAATACCCCTAAACATCACTATTTAGTTTGTACAGTTCCACGCATTAAGTGCGCTTACTCTACAACAAGCTAATGAGCTATTTATGCATTTTAGCGTTGTTTACTCTTCCTTGATTAGAAAACTGGACATGATATCAAAGGTGTTTAATTACTTCCTCGCCGATCATAGTATTACAAAGTAATACCATGTTACTCGTGGAATAAGTGATTAAATTTTCCCTCGTTGCATGGTAATACTTATAAAAAAACGGAACAAGGGCAGCCTTTGTTAACCTAAAATTTGCATAATAACTTCTACAATGATGATAAGATTAATTAGCATTTATAAATGAATCAACTGAATGCTGCAATATAAAATAACAATAATTTCCATTACTCTGTATGCCATGGGCACTCTTGAAAAAGTTCATTATTTTTTTAAAAATAATGTTTTTACAGTGTTGTAATGAAATTATTTCTCTAATTACCCCCGACCCACCACAAACAAAGACGCATTTATTAACATAAATGATTAGATAAAACACACTACGTATCACGGGGTATCTACAGTTGTATCTAGTCATCTCCCAAGTGAGCAACTACTACTACAAACCGCACGTTTACAGATCAGAGAACAGCATCTAAAACCGCACTGGTAAMACTGCCATGAATTSAATCATATTTCCMTKTCTTTTTTGTATATCTTMCTAAAACGGAGAATAACAGAACTAATCAATTCAAGTTATTGCCGTGTTTTTGCTTTGAAAGTCTCTGGTAAAGATAGATTCCCTGTTTAYTKCAWTTGATGTTRTTGATGCTAAAAWTCCATTTTACCAACAAAATTTAGAAAATTAAATTTTCAAAWATCAAGTTAAGAATGACATACAATWCTAATGTCATGGTGACTGAAGATGTTGGAGAGCAAATAGTGCTCAAAACTACCCTGTRAATACATAGCTTTTCAGTTTACTTATGAAGAATCAAAATCTACCTATTTCGAACGAAAATGTAMATGTATGTAGCAGTCAGAGTCAAGTCTTTGTTCTCAAGGCYTAAATTGTCTTCTCACCTTTTCCTGGGCTATCTTGAAACCTCACCTTTTCATAAAGATGAGACAAYCGATGAGCTGCAACAATAGAAACCGACTGTGAAAAATATCTAATTATGAGAAAGAAGTTTAAGCAATTGCACGCCCACCTGCCGTCTCGTTTTGACGCTAAGACAAGGTTGATTTTCATGAAGGAAACCATGCAGTACGAATTCATTTTGCAAAGGACTACCTTTGTGGCTTTTCCTCAAATTCACGTGTACATTCACACGAACCATTGGGTATTKCTTAGCCCGGTACTTTTAAACTGTATATGCACTCCGTGCATGAGAGTATTCTTTGCTTYTCAAAATTCCAAAAATATAGAAAGCCTACGGAGCTCCTAACTTCTTCCACGTTCTCAGTTCAGTCAGTTTACATTCAAACCAAGATACAAATTCACAGCATACGATTTTACATTACTTCTCTCCGTTCTCAAAATGAATGGGAGACGCCACATTGTGTTGGATATAGGCGAGCTTGTTTTTTTAGGTGGATCATGAAGTCCATGCTCATATTGATGGTTGCAGTACTTTTGGTGTTGGGAGCAGAGTTTGTTTCAGCGACGCCTTCAGTGAAAGGTAATTAGTCTTTACATCACATTTATTATAAATTATCAAAATAATGTTAACACTCCATGCGGACTCTTGATCATACAATCATAGTACCAAACACTTAAATATTGCATTGCTAAAATAAACTTTTTTGAAAATGTCTTTCTTTTAACGGAATCTCCCTAGCCATGCAAATTGTTATCTATGGTCTCAAGGATGTTAACTTCAATCCATTTATTATAAGGAATAGAAAACTTCACAATATTTGAAGTTAGTAGCTAAAAACATTCTTCACAGACATTCTAGTTACCGAGATAATACACATGGTCACCTAGGATCGCCGACCTTTACCAATGAATGCAATCAAATTTGTACAGAGACAAACACATGGTTGATTGACGTGGATAATTGAAAGGCTGCAATTCTTCCTAGCTCATTTCATAGTCGTTGAAACCGGTTGAGCAAACTCTAGGCAACTTTTTCGACCTTTCCTGTCAATTAACGTGGTTGATGCTACATATCACGTGACCTCACGGAAATTGGATGCAAATCAGTCTCTTATTATTGTATGAGGAAACAAACAATTAAAAGCCAGCTGACATTGTTGACGAGTCATGCTTACCATTTAACGAGACATCACTAATTTTCATGTGAATTCTCTAAGTGAACTGTGAGTTAGCGGTCTATGGCCCGCGCTATACGTCGAACTTCACATGTGCCGAATACAATCCACGAATTAAATGCATATGAGATGCGGCGTATAAATCGATTAAATTCGACAGTATTGGATTAAATACAACTTCAATCGAATCTGCGACTTAAACAGTCAAAGATACGGCAATGGTGCGGCAGTTGATTTATATGCCGTATCTCACATGTGCCGAAGTTAATACATACATTATTCTTCAATTAACATAAATTAAGAGCGATTCACCAATTTTTTGTTTGTTTGTTTGTGAATGGTGTTTTTTGTGGCTTGAATATATGAATGAAGAAGAGAAGGGAAATAGTGGACATAAAATGGAAGTGTATATATGGGAATGGAAAGAAGAGAAGGTGAACAGAGGGATGAATAGATGGGGAAAGGAAGGAAAAAATTAAAGAAAATGAAAAAAAAAACAAATAACTTAATAATCAAATAACTGTAGAAGTAAAAGGGTGTTATAAAGAAAAATGAATAGGTGAATGAATAAAACTAAATATGTAAATAACTAAATAAAAAGATAAATGAGGAGCATTAACTGAATAAATAATAATAAAAAAACAAATAGATAAATAAAAAATAAATAAAAATAGATGAATGAATGAATCGAAAATGTGTGAGGAAACTGAAAGAATCGCCCATTGTAAGAGAATCCGGAATCCGGAATCCAGTAAAAATACAGTTTTGGAATCCGGAATCCCTGTCCTGGAATCCGGAATCCAACTATTTGGAATCCAGAATCTGGATAGTTAGGAAGATTGCTTTTATCAGTGAAAATCTAGCTGTCTAGAGATGAGAACGTACATCCAACTGATATGCTGTACTTTACTGTACTTCTCATATACGTAGTTTGTTTGTCTGCGTGCGACAATTGGAGACAGTGCAAATTAGTGACGCGCTACCCTGCGCAGGCTACTGACGCTGAATATAATTTTTTTAGGAAAAAAAGACACTGAAAATCACTCCATTCATTATCCGGAATCCAAAACAAAAATTCTTTGGAATCCGGAATCCCAAGGCTTGGAATCCGGTATCGAATGCTTCGGAATCCGGAATCCAACGCTTGGAATCCGGAATCCTCTAGTTCTCTGGATTCTCTTACATGGGGCGA